GACGAATAATTATTGCCTCCCCTCCGGTTTTGGTTCGAGTTCTGGAAAGGGTGGTTTCGGAATTGCGGGTTTCCCAACAAGCCGCCTCGCATTGGGCCTCCGGGACCTCTGCCTCGGCGTGGCTGATAGTGATTCATCCCGAACCCTCCGCGGTTATTGTTGTATCGAGACATTTTTCCTTGAAAGGGCCAAAGAACTACCGACGAAACGTTTAAAAAATGGCGAGATTAGCTGCGTAGTCGCTCCTTCCACAGCTCTGCTAAGGTCTTCAAAATGGCGACTAGCGGACGGGCAGAAATTGTTCTTTCTTTCTCTGAGGAAAAAATATGGACCCGCCCCCGTCGTAAAACTGCGCCTCTGATTGGTTCAACTGTCTGAAGGCGGAGTTATTGATGTAGTTTAAAAAGCTATGCTCGCATTTGTTTGTTAAAATTCAAATATATTATGTGGAAGTGTAAATTATTAAAACATACACTTTTAAAATATACTGCTGCAGGTTTACTTTATATTGATATACTATAACTTATAAGATGCATATTTATTCCCCATTAAAAAAAAACATCCAGCTGAATCAAATTTTCTGCTTTTCTTTTGATTATAAAGGGATATTTTTTGTTTTCCCTTCAAAAGATGACAAGTTATTACATTTACATAATTTAAAAAGAGAATAAGAATAGATTAAATATTGATGTATTAAAGTTAAGGTTTAAAAACATTATTGCCCACACATTTAAAGCATGTTTTATGGTACAAAATATAATTTCTTTATCCCAAAGAAATGTTTTTCATCGTGTAGAATTTCTTTTCATTTTTAAAATGTATTTTAAAATGTGTTTTTTGTTTACTAAACTTTTGTTTTTCAATACTTAAAATGACATATAATACTAGATATGCTATATTGATACAAATGTTACTGTCATAAAACGTGCAGACATTGGGTCACATTATAGGGCATCTTAAGTCCGGACTAATTTTAGGCTTCCTTCATGACTTCCAGCAAAGGTTGTTGTTGCAGACTTTTGTTATCAGGCCAATATATACAAAAAATTACATTGAAAAAAAACGTCAGACGTAAAATACAATTTGTCTTCTGGAAAAAAAAACTTTTACAGTCTCTTAAATTTCAGAGTATGTCATCAATTTAATGACTTCCATTCAAAGGCAGACTTTGATACACCTAAATATGCTTTGAATTGATTAAACCTCAGCTAGAATAGAATAGAATAGAAATAAAAAAGATGCAATCTAGAAATGGCAAAAAAAAAACCTTTCAGTCAATAACGGGTTTTGTCGTTAGTAAAATTTTTATTATGCTAGAAATGAGTAACCTGACTCCGTCACATGGATTTGCTCCACATATCCATCTGGAAACCTTCCGTTGAAGTAATTTTGGGAAGGGGCGAAAATACTGGTTAGCTGATTGGCCTATGTTGGTGATAGACGGGCCAAATAAACCAATCAGATCAACCAAGCATATGACGTACTAACAGAGCGACGACGAAGAGGAGCTAATTGATAGATCAAACTCTTGCCGAAACCAGTCGGGAGAAGAGCAAAAACATCTTTTCCTCTGAGAAAAGCCTCCAGAGCAGTGTTTTGCTCTTCTTTCAGTGAAGAAATACTCTGTAATTCCGATAAAACTTGCTCGATAGCCACGCTAACGCTAGTTTCATCGGCTGAAGCCGCCATGTTCTTTAGACTGAACTGTCGCGCTTCTCGTTGCGTCACACTTCAACCCGCCTCAAAGCCAACGCCGATTGGACGTTCGTTTGGTGAACGGCTCCAAATTTTCTTTAACGGAGAGTCTCCAGACTGATCTGCGAGTGAATCCGTGAAAGCTCGCGAGATCAGGATGGTCTCACGAGGCTAAGAAATGAGAAAAATGTTATCTGTTAAACATCCAATAAAACGCAAAATTAACTCAAAACCATTTGGACTATGATATTTTTCATAGGTTCATGCGTTTTTTTAAGCTTCATGAACAAATGTGTTTTTTGTTTACAACAATAATGGAACAAAATTCACTCCGTAATGGATCAGCATCTTTCCCTTAAGTGGTGGAAGAAGAAATGTGTAGAAAACAAACTTCATAATTTACCCTTTATTGTATACAGAGGTGTCCATTAAAAAAGTACAAATACTTTGTTACCTAAATTAGAAATGTTGGTTATCTATACTTTACTGGAGTAATTATTTTTTAGACAACTTTTTATTCCTACTTCTTACTATTTTTTTATTTTTTTTTGGTGCAATTATTTCTACTTTCTATTCCTTACATTTTAAAAATTACACTCAGTAGTTTTTTTTTCATTTACTCTAATTTTCATTAAGACCTGTTGGTATTTAAAAAAAGAAATAAACAAAATCCATCCATTAATTTCTTTGTGGTTGGACTCGGTGCTGCCCCAACTTGTTGCTCACCACATACCAAAATAAATAATTTTTCAAGATGATGCAAAGTTAAAATTTAATACAATTACCATTAGTTATAAAACAAAGAAAATGAAGAATAAGGAAGTTATCATCCAGAATTGTAGAAAAATGTCCCTTTAATATGGTAGTGAAGTAAAGCTTCTGCCCTCAACACTTTATCCTTTATTCCATAAAAGTTAAAAAACAATCCACTGGAATTGGTTTCCAGGTTTGAAGTCGTTTCACTTCCCATCCAGGAAGCTTTTTCAATTCAAAATGGCAGAAATAGCGTTGAGTTTGAGGCAGTAGCCCAACAAAGCCTTGTTTTTATGTAGAAAACAGGCAAATTGAACCAGACTAACGGGTCCTTTGCCCCATTGGAATGTGGGCCGTTTGGCTTCTTTTGTTCGCCTTCAATCCCCCCAGTGGATTTTATTTTTTAACTTTTTTGACCTGGATGACTAGGAATCTTCACCAGCATATTTTTTCCTTTACTTTTTACACATTTACTTGAATAAAAATCTTTAGTTGACCCTGTAACTTCTACAAAAGTGTTTTCAAACAGTATGGTTTATACTGGAGTAATAAACATAAAAAAAAATTTGACACCTCTGATTGTATAATAAACCAAATTAAAGAGAAAATGTCCATAAGTGTGTGATTAGTCTATAAATAAAAACACAAGATGAGCTTTGTTTTGTTTTTTTTGGATCGTTTATTCCGCAGAAAGCCATTTCAGGAACAAAATGAGCGGAGAGACAATCTGTCTCACCTCAACGTGTCTTCCAAACACTCATTATAAACCAACAAAGAAAAAAATAAAGATGAGATGACAGCAAAGGGGGAAAAAAAAAACACAACATTAACCAAACAACCAAAGAAAAAAAAAAAACAGAAATAAAAAAAATGCAATTAGAGAATCAAGACAGAAAAAACACAGAAACACCAAAGAAGAAGAGGGAATAACATTCATCGATTTGTGAACAATCAAAATCTTTTCCTTCCTTTCTAGAATATTTTTTAAACAGATCAAAACATGTAAACCCAAACAGAGAAACTGTCACCACTAAACTGTTTCTATTCAGGAAAAAAAAGCCACTCGGTTCACAGATCACCAGGCTGCTTCAGATTAAAGCTTACATCTATCGCCATTCAGGCGCACTGGAAGCTTCTCGCCATTTAGAGGAACGTTAACTGGAGTTTAAAACTTCCCATCTTTAAATGTGTTGCACTGTTAGCAGGTTACAGCAGGAGGACGAGGAGAACTTTCTATATGTTCACCGGGATTAAAAGGTCTGGACCTCAGGAACTCCTTGGCATCATGGAGGGGTGTGAGGAGGAGGATGGAGGAGGCGGGGAAAAGCTCAAACCTAACTGGAAGTGATGGATGGAAGGGGGGAATCTGTAGGGGGAGGGTTACAGTGAGCCGACTGTTCATGTGCAGTCTGTGCGGGTCAGATATTTCCCCCCCGTTTATGAGCCTGCAGTTTGTGGAAAATCAAAGTCAGAGAAAGAATCAACACGAAGGAAGCGCAGGCTGGAGGGAAGCAGCGATCCGTTGGGTTTATTTCACATAGATTATGTTTACAGATTCTATCACATTTCATAAAAACAAAATCAGTTCCGAGAATTGTTTGTGTGTGTTTGCTTTTCCATTAAAAGACCCGGACATGCTGCAGAACATGGAATGATTGCGATGGTGGAAAACCAGCTCTCGGTAACCGAGTCAGATGGCGTGGAGGTCAAAGACCGCAGGAGCAGCAATGACCGGACCAGACAGTCCAAAATGAACGCCTCTGATGTCCTCCATCGTGATCTGTTGGTTCAGCTGGGTTTTTTTAGTCAGGTCTAATGAGAACGTCCAAGCGTCGAGTTGGAATAATCCTGAACTGGTGCGGTCATCGCTTCCCAAACCTTCCAGCTTCCTGCCTGCCTGACTAAGGACTCCCAGCTATGAGTTCATAGCAGCATTACTTCTCCTGTTAAAAGGGAGTTTTTCCTCTCCACTGTCGCTACAAGCATGCTTAGTGTGAGGAATTGGCTTTAAGTCAATGCAATCAACTGGTTTTCCTTAGATAGAAAACTTTAAATCAATTTAACTGGATGATCTGGTGAACTGGAAAGTGCCTTGAGATGACATGTGTTGTGAATTATACGAGTAAACTGAACTGAAACTGAATTGATAACACCATGTGCTGCATAAATCTGTTTTTAGACCTCCAAACCAACCCTTTTCAACCTATCTAATGAAACTACGACATGCTTTTAACTTAATTCTGTCCTAACAGACAGAAAAGGGCCTAAAATCACTCAATCTAGAAACACCTAATTTCCAAGATCAGTTTATAACCCCTGATCAAACCTCCTCCTGACAGATATCCTCTAATTATTAGAATATAATTAATTACATTAAACCGCCATATTTAAAAACAGCATCAATGCCTGTTTTTAGTGTTTTCAATTCAAGTTCCTGTGTAAATTATTATTAGAGTGGATCCTGGCCCGCAGAGACCTGTTGCTTAAAGGCTTCATGCAGCACCTGCCCAACACACTAGTAACAGAAGTTTTAAGTTTACATCTTGGTTTTGTTTTTCCCAAACTGCAAACGGAAGAACTTTAAAACCTGCATGCATGACTGCGTTTGAAAGCAGCCCGCTCTGCAAAAACTGAACAGAAGAAGACGGATTACAGAGATGCAGAGGTTGAAGCTAATCAACTGTCCTGGAATAAAAACGTTTGGCATATTTGGGAATAAAGATTAAATTTAGCAAACTTAGATTTTCATAACACAATGCTTTTAATCCAATTTGATCTGATTTTACTTCCTTTAACTGAAGATCGGTTTTGTTTTCCAAACGCTGTTTAATCTAAAGTTTTCAGAGCTGCAAACAATCGAGGAAATGAAAATTCTGCTGTTGATTCGACGCCCAATTAACAACCGTCTGATTCTGCATCCTTCCTCTTCCAATGTGTGTTTAATGGTCTAAGTGAGTTTGTAAACGTCTGCAGAAACGGGAGAGGATGCGTCCCGCAGCGGTTTGGCTGATCTGACTCGGACTCTACGCTGGTTTTCCAGAAACACAAAAAGGAAGCGTGGCGGTGAGGCGATGACTGATAGAAGCTGATAAAAGAAAAGAAGATGAGGTTAAAAAAAGAAAGAGGAGAACAGAGGCAACAGGTAGAGGATTTTAATTTAAAAAAAAGGGGGAATGTGCAGTAAGAGTCAGAGTTTCTCCCTCCGAAGGCCAAGACTGAAGAATGTTTGCAGGTTGGAGCGTAAGAGGAGCTCTGATCAGCTGTGCAGGTTAAATTAACTATTAAATGTGTGTTTGTGAGTGCTCATGGCTGTTTCCTGCAGGAGGAGAGCAGATCAGGGGTCAGAGGTCAGTGTCTCGGAGGGCGTTGGGGATGGGGGGGGTCACAGTCGGACTGAGGTGAGGTCAAATCCGGGGCAAATACTTCTCAATAAATTCCTTTACATCTGCCATCTCCTGCAAGAGATCGGATCAGAGGAAAGAGCAGATTAATCATCTCTGACTTCTGCAGAGATGGAAAAGTTTCAAACATTGTTTTCTATCCTTTCATCATCAGCAGGAGCAGAAGATTCATTTTTCTTTTCCAGAATGGAAATTCAAAAAAGTTTAAAAAAACAATCCACTGGATTTTGTTTCTAAGTTTGAAGACGTTTCTCTTCCCATCCAGGAATGTTTTTCAGATCAAAATGTCAGACATAGCGTTGATTTCCAGGCTCCGAGTTTTTCACCCGCGCTCAAAAAAAAAAAAACAAGAATGGGAGAGGCGCAGGAGCGGGATGGGAGTGGAAATAATTTCACCTGGAGTGGGACGGGACAGGATTTAGATTTCTACTCTGGCCCGGGATCGGGACACTATTTTTTGCTGTGGGAGTGGGATGGGACAGGAGTGAAAATTCACTCCCATCTCAGACTCTACTTTGAAGATATTAATGAAAATGTAAAGGTCAAAGGGTCAACCAGCCCCCCCACCTTCTTCAAATGAGACAAAATCAGTGTCAAACGTTTGTGCTACGTTTGTGCAGAAACATTTTTCGTTTGTGCCGCTATCGTTTTAAAGATATAAAGAAATATTTCTAGAGGTCATCAAAGGTCAACCAGCCCCCCCCACCTTATTTAATCAGACAAAATAGGTGTCAATTAACTCAGCTCCGTTTGTGCTGGTTTGTGCAGCAAAAATTTTTGTTTGTGCCGCTTTGGATTTGAAGAAGGTGGGGGGGCTGGTTGACCTTTTGACCTTTACATTTTCATTAATATCTTCAAAGCCAAAGCAGCACAAACGAAAATTATTGCTGCACAAACGTAGCACAAACGTTTGACACTAATTTTGTCTGATTTGAAGAAGGTGGGGGGGGCCAACTTCACTCAGGTCAACAAAGCCTTGTTGTTGTTTAGAAAACATGCAAATTAAAAAGGACGAACAGGTCCACCCCTTTGGAATGGAGGTCAAAAGGGAATCTTTGATTCCTTTTCTCCTTTACAGGGAAAAAAAGACCTTGCCTATTCAGGGCTTCTGTATAAAACGTGGAACTCAAAGCTATTTCTGACATTTTGAATTGAAAAATCTTCCTGGATGGGAAGAGAAACATCTTCAAACTTGGAAACAAAGTCCAGTGGATTGTTATTTTAACTTTTTGTCATGACTATGACCCGGATGACTGAGAATCTTCACCAGCATCCAGAATGGAACAATAAAAACACGTAATCTACAAAGATCTACAAAGACTTTTAAAACAATCAAATGTTGAACAAATTTTTATTTTAACCAATTATAAACATAGGAAAAAAATAATAATCACAGGAACTATCCAATAAAAAAATCCAAATCTCTACAGGAAAAAAGTTTGATCGTCAGCGACTCAAAGGTTGAGCTATTTTGTCAAATTTAAAGTATGTTTTAAACATTTCATGTGAGCTCTTTTTAACCTTAGAGCAATCGTAGAGTACAGTAGTGGAACCAGCATGCTGTGGAGGTATTCATCCAAAAGGGAAATTAAAACATTATTACATATATAGTTAGTTTTTAGAGGGGTTGTAGGCAGGAAGGATTTCCTCTAGAGGTCAGTGTTACAGCAGATCTGAACAAGCAAGGAGTGAATATTGTTCCATTATTGTGGCAAAGCAAAGAACATATTTTGAAAATAAAAATACAAAAATTCAATCCAGGAACAAAACTTTTAAATAATATTTAATCAAAATAGTTTTTGGAAAGTAACTGGAAAGTTTTTTCTGAGATTTTATTTCTTTTAAACAATTTTTCCCCCACATATTTGTTTCTTTATTATTCAATAAAAAAAAAGGTTGCTTCAATCGAAAAATATATTTTCAATTAAAAAAATCTTCATTTCAAAGAAAAAAAAACTTTTCAATCAAAGAAAAAAAGTATTTGAATGCAAAAATATATTTGAGATTCAAAAAAATACATTTGAACACTGCTTTTTTTTTTATTGAAAATGTTTTATTTGATAGAAGTCGTTTTTGTTTAAAGCACCTTTTTTAATTGAAGTAACATTGTTGTTTGATTGGACCATATAATGGGTAGGACATTTGTGTCTTTATTATTCAATCAAAAACGAAGTTGCTTTAAACAAACAAACAACAGAATCAATAAAAAAAGTAACTTCAATGAAAAGATAAACGTTTTCAATCATAGAAAATAGTTTTTGAATGCAAATAAAATAGTTGAGACTCAAAAAATTGCATTTGAACACTTTTTTTTTTATTGTTGAAAATGTTTTCTTTGGTTGAAAGGATCTATTTTGTGTTTGGGCCACACATGGATAGGACATTCTTAATCATTCAATTCCCAAAAAGTTGTTTCAATCAAAAAAAATAAAAAATAAAATCAATCAAAGAAAAAACTTTGCAAATGCAAAAAAAAAAAATAAATAAAAAAATTACCCCACAAATAAATATATATTTTTTTGAAGTGAAAAAAAAAATTCAATTTGTTTTATTTGAATAATTTTTTGAATAAGTTTAAAAAGTTTTGAAGTTAAAATTTTTTTGAATGAATAATTTTGACACAAACGTTCCGCAGTGGGCGGGTGCCTTAATAAACATATTTTTTCAGTTTCATTTCTGATTGCATTTTTCTTTCTTCCAATTTACAAAATTTTTTGTTTTCAACTTTTCTGAATTGTGCTCTTTGATTTCAACAATAATGGAACAAAATTCCCTGTGAAGAAGTTTTTAGCTGAACAAACTCTTCTGTTTGGTAACAGTCTGATGAAGGGGAAGCTCAGGGTCGTCTGTAACGATCTGCATTCTATGTCACCCAATCATCTCCAGAGGTTCAGGGTTTGTTATGCTAGGCTCAGACCGCACGCTGCAGAAGTAGCTAGTTTACATCTTGAGAAGCAGGAGCGGCGCCTCATGAGCTTCTGAGCATCTGACGCTTGCGATGCGCTTCAGAAGAACAGCTGCTCGAAGAATAAAAGTTTTGCTGACCGATGCGC